TTACCTAATTTAACTACTATGTTTCTTTGGCTTCGGAAGAGTAAATACCAGTTAATCAAGGAAACTATTTTAAGTGATGGCTTGTGGTCATTCACTTACCTAACAATGGCAATAACAAGTTCTTGATCCTCCAAACCCCACTCAGTTTTCATTATAAAACAATCCAAATTGGCAGTCAAAGAGTATTACCATAAGAAAGATCATTGATTAGGCCAAGCAAACTGCTAGTAGAGGGGAACATGCCAATGTGGACATGTACAGCTTTTTCTCAAGAATCTGATGAGTGAATTCCTGTTCAGTTACTATAGCAATCGGCCCAATGCCCTTAACAAGCACTAACTGTCTTTCATTTTAAACAATGACTGAAATATTAAGGTGGTTTAATTTAAAATTCGTGCTCCATCTCATTTACATGAAGGAGAGGCAAAAAGGCCTCTGGCTTTCTTTCCCTACAGGGTCCAGAGAGGAAGGGCTTTAGACAGGAAGAAAGGGCAGCACCTCATTTTCATAGCGAATACCAGTCTGCTGGGCAGCTTCTCTTGAGCCCATGGATATTTAGCATATTATCTAGCTGATGGCTCTGCTAAACTCAGCTTCTCCCTCTCTAGGAGAAAGAAATCAAAACAGGACTCTCACCAGGACCACCTAGCTGTCTTCTGGGCTACTTCTGCCCTTCCCTGGGAGGAGAGAGAGAACAGGGAAGGGACTATGAGGGAGCCTCTCTCAACTGCTCAGTCTTCGCCCTTCTACGATAAGAATACTCTCCAAAGAGTTCATTCCTGCATCAATCTTTACTTAATAAAATGAAGGGGGACTTTTTTCATAACTCTATCCTATCAAAACAAACTCTTTATCCACTACTTCCCACTACACAAAATATACTTATATCACTGCTTATCTACAATATAAATATTCTGTGCACAAATTTGATGACAGTACAATTTTGCCTTGTAATAGTATGGATTTTCACTAATTGGACTGTACTACTAGTATCTCATTAGCTTCAAACTTAGAAGGCAGAAATTATTTGCTTTGTGTTTCATCTCTTGCAAGCCACTAATTCACAATTATAATGATGACCATGAAGAAAAGAAGCTGTTCTGGGTATTTTCCAGATAATAACTGCACTGCACTTTTTTTCCTTCCCAAGCTCTGTGTCACTCTCCACTCCTCTCTGTCCTGATCAGCTGACCTCTGCGGACTCCATCACCTGAGTTTCCATATGCTCTAGCTTCCAAAAGGCATCTGCCACCAGGAGGTATCAGTACAATAAGAGACCATGAGAGGAGAAAAGGTTGGAGTATTAGTACCTACCTCACACTCTGCTCCTCCATGCCTGCAGGAGCTTTGGCCTTATCTGTGTCCCTCTGTGGCCACAGACCCCAATAGGTAGCCCCTCTCCCATGGCTCCAGCAGCTGCAAGGCTGCACTGACTTAGTTCACTCCCTTGCCCTTCAGGCAGAGGGACAGTATCAATTTCTAACTATCATAGTCTCCAGGTTCTTCACCATCTCTTGTTTTAATGATGCCCACACCTCTGTAACTAGTCCCCTGCATTAAACTCTGTTCTGTTCATTCCTTTTAAGGTGTGTCATCTGTACTTGCCAGGACCCTGACTAATACAGCACCCTAATATAAATAACTTACTAAAATTCTCCAGTCTCCCGAAAAAGAAATTACGCTTCACATAAAACATGTGAAGCATAAATTCTTCATTTAATTCCAATAGTTAATATCAAATTAAGATAGTCTTCAGATAGTCACATACAAAGGAACTCAGTGAAGAAAAGAAAAAATATTTTAAATAAAAGCTATTAGAATTCAAATATTAGCACAGTGTATATATTTTCAAAAAGTTCAAGGAAGTTACAATGTTCCTCAAATAAATGTTAACTTTCTTCTATTACGGAAGAGCAATTAAGTGTTCAGTAATTCCTAAGAGTTCATCACTATGCATTAAAAACAAAACAAAAAACAGAAATCAACCCTGGAATCTACCCGAGTCAGTATATGGCAACAACTAACTTTAAGCTAAACAGACAAACAACAAAAACCCAGCAAACAGCAAACTAAAAACATTAAAAGTAGTAAGAAAAATAATAAAATAAAACCAGCACTGACAACGCTGCCTTTTCCCCTTGACAAGTTCAGTAAGACAAGAGCAAATCCAAAGACTATAATTAGTTATTTCCTATCCTTATTCTGCCTCCTTTCCCTCCAACAGTTACTACAACTACTAGGTATTTGTAGTATGTAATGAATCAGTAGTCCATGTAAGCTCATAGTTAAATCATTAGCCACTAATATTGCTGTCAACACATTTATGACTATTGTTGCTACACAACACTTTTAACACAAATAAGAGGGTAATTTTTTCCCTTTGAAGTTTCTTCTTATAATGAGCCTGTCATCCATCCTATGGAACACATACAAAAAGTTGCTAATTAGCATTCAGAAAGAGGATCTTTTGCTTGTACAGGTCTGTCTTCATGAATTTTCCAAAAGGATGTCTCTTTCCAAGTATAAAACATTTCATTTCATTCTCCACATGGCTTGGAGAAATAGAAAGTTGACATAAAGGCTCTTTCTAATTCATAGCATTTCACCACCACCCCCCACCCCAAAAAACTTCTTTTAAAGTGTTCAAGCAGCTTCTTAAAAATACCATGCATTTACACGGAGCTTTTAAATTCATTCTCTCATTTGATCCTTTAAGTCTGTGGAACAGTCAAGTGTTCCACAGGTAAGGATAAAAAGTCAGAGAGGTAAGTGGTATCTGGCTAAACATCCTTACAAGTAAATAAGAGAATATCTTATTATTATCTTATGATGGATTAATGCTAGTTATTCCCACTAGTAATTAAATACAGAGCCTGCATGAAACCACATAGCAAGTGCCCACGTGCGGAAATATCTCAGACAAAACAAAGTTAATACTAAAAGATATCAACTGACCACAAGGGTATTATACCTAATACAGGAAAAAGAACGGCATAAATAAATCTAAACTGAAATACAAGTATTTTTTTCTCAAAGGGAGAATAACATAAAGTGAATTTTTTTTTTTTTTTTTTTGCTTAATTCTCACCAGATGATATTTTTCCATCGATTTTTAGAGAGAGTGGAAGGAAGGAAGGGGGAGAGAGAGAGAGAAACATCAATGCGAGAGAGACATATCGATTGGTTGCCTATCACATGACCCCAACTGGGGTCAGGGATCAAACCCCCAACCCAGGTATGTGCCCTTGACTGGGAATTGAACCCTTGACCCTCCAGTCTGCTGGTGGGTACTCTAACCACTGTGCGACCATCAAGGGAAAAAATATCATTTTAATAAATGTATCTTTAATTTATACATTTCATTTATTTAATTTATACATTTTTAAAAAACCTTCTGCGTAAAAGCAGTTGGTGTCAGAGATAGCACCGGAATTGGTTAGCAGTATGGTAGGAAAGATAAGGGGGACAAATCTGTTCACATAAACAGTGATAAACAGTTAACCAGCTTTGTCATTTATTCAATCAATATCAACTGCATAAGAAATACTATGATGAACAGGGAAAAAATCTTGCATTCAAGCAGCTTACAGCCTAGTTGGGAAGATAATAGACACACACAGATAAAACATTCACTGATTCAGTATTTCCTGAGTGGTTACAGGAAGGCACTGAGTTTGGCTCTGGGAGAAATACAAAATGAATGAAACAGAGACTTGGCCCTCCAGGACTAATAGTCTGGTACAGAAGATAAAAGAGTTATGCAGGATTTGAATGGAGAACATGAAAAGATCCAAATAAGATTCTATGTGAGTTCTAAGGAGGGAAAATGATTCTTAACTGGAGCTTTGGGGAAGATGGCAAGGAGGAGACATTTGAAATAAAAGATATGCAGGATTTGGTTACCCACTGACTGGGCAGGAAAGACATTCTAAGTGAGTGTAAAATGTATAGAAAGACAAAAACTTTGCAAAGTAAAGGGAATAAAGTTTTTGGGGAGGGATCCCAGGTTATGTGAAAGTTTAGTGGGAAGGACAGAGAAGTCAAATCAAGGGGAACTCAAATGGGAGTCTAAAAAGCTTATGTGATTTGTGGCATGTGGGACACAAGGCAGAACATAGAGTAGCAAGAAGAATTCTAAATTCAATGATAAGAGGAAAGGAAATTAGGTTCACAGTTAGAGAGTAGATAATTCACTTAGGCCTAGAAAGGCAACACGATTCTGACGGGCTGTTCCAGATTACATAAATTGATGAAAGCCATGATTCAAAGCAGGCCAGCAATTATTTGGATGGTACCCTTCCCTCTACGTCCTGGGAACTGGCTCAACTGTGCTATTTTCTTAGATTCGTTAGCTGTGAAATGACATTGGCCTGAATAAAACCAAACTTCAGGAACTAAGCCTTTAACAAACATACACAGGGACACAATCACAAGCACCCCCCTGCCAACTCCCCCCCATATCCTTTTTTATCTGGCAATTCTTTTCTAATTATAAAATTGATACATAGTTCACTGTAGAAATCTAGTCTTTTCACTGATACTAATTTTTAAATTGACATGAAAGCTCACAGTATGAGTATACGAACAGCTGTAATTCTCTACTGAGAGCCAGGGTACCTGAAAACTAGCCAGATGCCCAAGACCAGTATGATCAGCCCAAGTCCCAAGAATCATTTGGGGGTTCTACTCTTAAATGTCAAAAGACTTTGCTTCTAGACCACCTCCAGACCTTCCCTAGAATGTATGAGTTCAAGAGGCCCAAAGAAATCTCTTAAGAGTAAAAAACAAAACAAACAAACAAAAAACCATACACACACCACAAAAACTGAATACAGTAAACACCAATACAGACTGTTAGTTGGATACTCAGCATATAAAGGTGCTCAGGTTTAGGCATATTCATAGACAAATTTATTTTTATCAGAGATCACCTAGATTAGAATAATTTCAACCTAAATGGGTTTGAATAAACTAAAACTAAACTCAGAAAACCAATGAGTCAGTACTTATAGATTTTTTAAAAATTTGTCTAGGAGGTCTTCCCGTTCTCACCAGAAGACCCTGTCACAGAAAAGAAACAAAAAAACCAAACCAATGAGTCAAATATTGTTGGGTTTTGTACAAAGGCAGTTTGATGTAGAGGTTAAGAGCATGAACTATAAACTCAATCAGAACTGGTATGAACCTCAACTATGACTGACTGCAACTGTGTGACCTTGGGAAAGTTATTTAATCCTTAAAAGATTTAAGAAAATAAAGATAATACCTGTGGTAATTTAATAATTAATATATGAAAAACTATCATTAGGTAGAAGTTTATTAATAATAAGCAATCAGCCCTGGCCAGTTTGGCTCAGTGGTTAGAGCGTCGGCCTGTGGTCTGGAGAGACCCGGGTTCGGTTCCCGCTAAGGGCACGTACTTCGGTTGCAGTTTGTCCCCGGCCCTGGTTGGTCGTGCGGGTGGCAGCCACTCGATGTGTCCCTTCACGTCGATGTTTCTCACTCTCTCTCCCTTCCTCTCTCTCCCTCCCATTCTATCTGTACAAAAAATGGAAAAATATCCTCGGGTGAGGATAAAAAAAAATATATAATAATAATAATAAGCAATCATCACCAATTTACACAGAAATCTACTGTGCTTAAAGAATTAGTGCTTTCCATTTACTTTTTTATTTTTATTTTAAAATTTTTTTTCTTTATTGATTTTTTTTTAGAGAGAGAGGAAAGGAGAGGGAGAAAGAGATAGAAACATTGATGAGATACAACATCGATTGGCCGCCTCCTGCATGCCCTCCACTGGGGATCAGGCCCACAACCTGGGCATGTGCCCTGACCAGAAATCAAACCAGCAACTTCTTGGTGCATGGGTGGATGCTTAATCACCAAGCCACACTGGCCGGGCTATTTACTTTTTTAGGTTATAAAAATATATATGTTTATTATAGAAAATTTAGAAGATAATGAAACAATAATTTTACTTTCATAGTCAAGAAATAACTAAGTTTGTGTATTTTCAAAAGCATCTATAGTACTTGGCCCTATTTATTTTTGATGGACCAGATTTGGGAAATGACACATATGTTAAGTTTCCATAACAGAATTATAGATCACTAGAAGTTTCATTCTCAAATTTCTTCCCCTTAGGCCAAGAAAAAGCAAAGCAAACCAGGTATGGTACTATCTTGAATACTTTATAATGTATCATATTTATTCTTTATTTTATTTTTTTATTTATTTTTTATCCTCATCCGAGGACATTTTTCCATTTTTTGTACAGACAGAGTGGGAGGGAGAGAGAGGAAGAGAGAGAGAGAAAGAGAGAGAAACATCGACGTGAAAGGGACACATCGAGTGGCTGCCACCCGCATGACCAACCAGGGCCAGGGACAAACTGCAACCGAGGTACATGCCCTTAGTGGGAACCGAACCCGGGTCTCTCCGGACCGCAGGCGGGCGCTCTAACCGCTGAGCCAAACCGGCCAGGGCTATCATATTTATTCTTTAAGGCTCCTCTCAATGAAGTGTTTTACAGTTCCTCTCAAACCCATGATCTCTTCCTCCCTGATCCCCTATAGCTCTCATATAGCACGTCTCCTACTCTGCATTACAGCTATCCATGCTCTTCTCTTACCAGCCCCTCCTCCCCCTGCTCTTCCCCTTGCTCCATCTCCTAGAGCTGGGAACTTTTAACCTGGGGATTGTGAGCCTCCTGGAATTACACATAAAAATAGTCTTTCTGAAGGTACAAATATATTCATATATTCATCAAATTCTCAAAAAGGTCTGAGACTCAAAAGGTACAACACTCTAGTCTAGAGAAAGACTTGAGATTTAATTATCCTTGGATCCTTTACATTGCTTAGCATCTGCCTCTGTATAGACAAACATTTGTTGGTTTAAAATTGTATTAATAAATCCTAAAATCAGTGTTAGGTTTTTGTTTAAAGTAATACTACAATTAATATTTTCCTGACACGGTTTCCTCATTCCTCATTCCCTCATCTTATTACAGACTGTTTCTGAAAGGAGAAAGGTGGTTACCAAGGGCTAGCTAGCTAGGAGGAAGAGGAGGAAGTTGAGAGCTACTGTTTAATGGGTACACTGCTTCAGTCTGGGGAGGTGAGCAAGTTCAGGAGATGGATGGTGGTGATGGTTACATAACAATGTGGATGTATTTAGTGCTACTAAACTGTTATTACATATTTTACTGCAATTAAAATACTGCTTTTTATTCTTATATATTATTAATCACCTATTACAAGGCAGACTCTTCATCAGATGAAAGGAATAAGAAATATACTGGTTAACTTTTAGGATATAAGAAAGAAATCCTCAAAGGAGAAGCAAATCTTAACCCCAATCTACATATTGTTGGTTTTAGAGTATAAGCACAAATTAAAACAAGGTGATACAATCATAAATCCTGTCTAAACAGAGGAGCTTTTATCTGAGTAAACAAAGGTAAATTGCTTGCGTACTTCAGTTTATCTGTGTGAAGCAAATTAAACTTTTTCAATTTACCAAGACACAACTCAGGAAATATATGATAATTTAGTCCAATTTCATCAATGTATTATCCACATGAATAATGTAAGCATTTTGGATACCTATAGGCATTTCAAAGTGTAAGGAACACATTTTATTCAATAAACATTTAGTGAATATCCTTTTTTTTTTTAAATCCTCACCTGAGGTTATTTCTTTACTTATCTTCAGATAGGGTGGGAGGGAGAGAGGGAGAAAGAGAGAAAGAGGGTGAGAGAGAAACATCAATGTGAGAGAGACACATTGTTTCGCCACCTCCCACATGACCCCATACAGGGCTGGGGACCAAACCACAACCGAGGTACATGACCTTGACTGGAATCGAACCCATGGCTCTTTGGTCTGAGGGCCGACGCTCTAACCGCTGAGCCAAACCAGCCAGGGCTTAGTGAATATTCTTAAAATTAAGAAATATAAAAGTCTCAAAACTTCTTTAAAAAAGAATAGTAGCCTGGCCAGTGTGGCTCAGTGGATTGAATATCTTCCCATGGACTGAGAGGTCTCAGTTCGATTCCTGGTCAGGGCACATGCCTGGGTTGCAGGCTTGATACCCAGTAGGGGGTGTGCAAGAGGCAGCCGATCAATGTTTCTACCTCTCTCTCCTTTCCTCTCTCTTTAAAAAAAAAAAATCAATAAAATCATATAAAAATTTTTAAAAATAAGAATAGTACACTGATTATAAAGAAGAATTATTTTCCTATGTTACTTCACTTTTACTCTCATCTCATACTTTATAGCTTGCCTCACTACAGAAAAAGCCTCAGACTCCATTAGGCTACAAATATATTTAAACATAAAAACTATTCATATTAATATTTCCAAAAATATGTATATTTCATCAAAAACAGATTCTAAACCTTGTGATGATTAAATGTCAGTGATATCTCCTGGTTATTTATTACCAATAAATAACTGATTTGCAAAGACATTTAAATATTCCATTATTTCCCCAAAAGTCCTTATATATAAGAGAGATTTACAAATATTTCTTCAGTGGAATCTAGGGAAGATTCACTTACAAACAGATTTAATATAAAGGCTAGCTACAAATACTAAAATTCTACAGCATATAAAAGATAACCCCTACTATAATGAAGTATTGTATATTCAAAGTAAGCTAAGATGATTATTGCTCTTTTGACTCTAACATTAAATAATTAGCAGAATATCAAATTTTCCCATAGTTACATTCACCAAAAAGCCAAATTTTCCTAATACTTACTCTTATTCAATAGTAGTATTCGATTAATACACACTTAGTGCCCAGCATGTGTCAGGCACTACGCTGTCAGGGCTAGGCAGCCGTGAACCCCAAACAGCCTTGTTCTACCTAAATAATACTTAAGCGCTACTGCTTTTCTAGAACACAGATTTACATCACCACCTCTTCAAGTGTCTTTGCGTTTTTGAAAATATAATAGTTCTGATAATAAAAAAAATTCAATTTATGGCCCTGGCCAGTTTTTCTCAGTGGTTACAGCATTGCCCCGTGGTCCAATGAGTCCTGGGTTCAATTCTGATCAAGGGCACGTACCTTGGTTAAGGTTTGTCCCCAGCTCTGGTCAGGTCATGTGGGAGGCAGCCAGTCGACGTGTCTCTCTTACATCGATGTTTCTCTTTCCCTCTCTTCCTCTCTCTCCCTCCACTTTATCTGAACAAAACTGGAAAAACATCGTCAGGTGAGGATTTAAAAACAAAAATTATAAAAAGAAAAATTCAATTTATGAATCTGATCTCTAAAGGAAAATTTAGAAATTATAAATTATAAATGATTATGTTTTTTAAGATATAAAAATGTTTGCCTGTCATGAAGTTTGTTTCACTGTAAGGCAAACCATCAAAGATAGCAAAAATTACTTTAAACTTTAAGATTTACCTGAAATAGGAATATTCTGTGAGACTGATAACTGCACATCTCCAGTTCCTGGTGGCATGTCAACAACTAAATAGTCCAGTTGACCCCAATCTACCTAAAAATCAAGATGACAAAAATAACATGACTATATAACAACTGCAGTAAAAATAAATGCATTAATAACAAATCTAAAATACTAGCATTCATTTGAGCCATTACTAACAGCCAGGGACTGTGATGAGGATAGATACATGAATAATGAACGAATGAATGAATGAACGAATGGATGAATGAATGAAAATGAATGAATGAAAGAAAGAATGAATAAGAGACAGTACTGACTCTAGCAGACCTCTGAATAATAAGGTTAAATTTCCAGATGATGCCCTCTGCCGCCACCACACACACACACTAATGGTGAGCCCATTTCACAGTGGGTTTCTATTCAGGACCAATCATTTATTTTCATTGGGAATAGCCCATATTTTACCTAAGAAAGCCTTAGCTTTTGGTCCTTTGGACAAAAGCTTCAGCATTTCCTATGGTAGAGTCAGAGCTTAAGCTCCAGAACATTCTGCTTAGTTTCTTCACTTGCTAATCCCTGCTCAGTCTTCAGATCCCAACTTGAAATTTACTTCCCCTAACTTCCATTAGATTAGACATGGTGTTCCTACTATGTACTTCTCCTATTCATTCATTTATTCATTTAATCATTCACTCAACAAATGTTTATTGAATGACTACTATATTTAATATATAATTATCAATACCTAGCTCAATGCCTTATTAGAGGCATTGAGCTAGGTATTGATAATTAAATGGTACCATGGTCCATAGCCTCACAAAATTTATAATATAGAGGAGACACATATTAAGCACATAATGAAATAATGTATGCAAAGGAAAAAGGTTAGTAAATGTGAGAAACTGAATGAAAGCCAATATAGCTAGAGAGTAGTGATGAGGGAAAGGGTTGTGTACATTTATTATTGTTTCATGATCTGTCTTCTCATGAAATTGTAGCTGAGTTAGAATGCCCAGCACAGAATGGACACACTGGAGATGCTTAATAACTTTTCTTTCAAAAAATGAATAAATAAATAAACACATGCAAAGGTTCAACAGTTTTTAAGTGTAAATCATACTCTGTGTATAATCCCATATGTTCCTTCTTAAAACTTAATAAAGTAAAATAAGACTCTTCCATATAATCATATATTTTTAGAAATTAAAGTTTAGATGATATTGGGTCAAATAGACTCACTCATATAGCAACACATTTATTCAAAACATATTTATTGAGACTCGATTAGGTGTCAGGCACTGTTCCAGGTGATGGCAATAGAGCAGTGACCAAAACAAAGTCCCAGCCACCATGAAACTAACATTTAAGTGAGGGAGACGAACAGAAAGACAAACAAATCAGAAAGTGATAAGTGCTGTGAAGAAAACAAGTATCCCTTACTATACAAAATTATTTGGTTTCTGATTCAGATATCCAGATCAAATAGCAAGAAATATTTTAAAATCTTTTCAATTCCTGAATTTCAAAAAGCAAGTAGTAAGAGTGCAGATAGCAAACTGTTTATTAAAGAATTTCTTTGCGCCCTGGCCAGTTTTGCTCAGTGGTTAGAGCGTCAGCCTGCGGTCCAGAGAGACCCAGGTTCGGTTCCCGCTAAGGGCACGTACCTTGGTTGCAGTTTGTCCCTGTCCCTGGTTGGTTGTGTGGGAGGCAGCCACTCGATGTGTCCCTTTCACATCAATGTCTCTCTCTCTTTCTCTCTCTCCCTCCCTCCCTCCCTCCCACTCTATCTGAACAAAAAATGGAAAAATGTCCTCGGGTGAGGATAATTTCTTTGTATCTCCTCAGTTCCCAAAGTCAGATGGTGAAGAATACTTGAACGAGGGGGGGGGGGGGGGCAGCGAAGGTGCTCCTATAGACAGGGTGGTCAGAGCCCTGAATGAAGTGAGAAAATGACTGATGCAGTTATCTGAAGGAATGCATTCCAGGTAGAAGCAATAGCGAGTGCAAAGGCCCTAAGACAGGGATATGCTTGGCACACTCATGGCACAGCCTTCTAAAACAGCACCTCCTCCCCCCAATATCACTCTCTCTCCTCCTCTGACTTTGTTTTTCTTCTAAACATTTACAGTATCTGACATTATATATTGACTTGTCTTTTAGGAATTCTATCACATTTCTCAAACATAAGTACTTATTAAATGACACATTTTATGAGAATGATGAAATGATGAGCATAAAATAGTTCATTTTCAATACAGGGTTCCTTGGTTTGAAAAATAGTTACCTCAAAGTTACCCAGGACCATAATCTATAAAACTATCTACAAAAAAGATAAGGGATACTTTTCACTTTATATCCTCTGCACAGAAACCCCTAGCAGAAGCATACTGACAAGTCTCTTTGTTTCAGAGAACATCAAATGACTGGTACTGACAATCTATCATTGTTGTTCCTTGGTATTTAATCATGTTTATCATGTTGGATCCAATCTCTTAAAAGAGAAGTCTTATTGAGGTTCCAAGGAACTAAAAATACTTCACTGTTAAGGCAATTAATTTCAAAGGACTCTTTTTTTTTTTTTTTTTTATCCTCACCCGAGGACATTTTTCCAATTTTTGTACAGATAGAGTGGGAGGGAGAGAGAGAGGGAGAGAGAGCGAGAAACATTGACGTGAAAGGGACACATCAAGTGGCTGCCACCGCACGACCAACCAGGGCCGGGGACAAACTGCAACCGAAGTACGTGCCCTTAGCGGGAACCGAACCTGGGTCTCTTCGGACCGCAGGCCGACGCTCTAACCGCTGAGCCAAACCGGCCAGGGCTCAAAGGACTCTTAAACAGAATTTAAACTATCTGAAAAAAAGAACCTGGCCCTAAATCTCCTCACACATAGTAGGCACTCCACAAGGGCTTGTTGATTTGAACTGAACTGAACTGACATCAGTATCTGAGTTCCAGTTATATAGCATTTATTAATATTAACACAGAAATATACTGGCTGCCAGGAAGTTCCAGTTCTATTATAAAAGAGTCATCAAAGCATTGATTTTAGAATTATTTGGGATTCTCTAGATTCTACTTAGTGTTTGTTCATGCATATAAATTGAGTGTTACTAAACGCAGGGAAACATGTACTAGCAAAACACCCAGGTAGCTCGTTTAGTAAATCCAGTGGCAGATCCAGATTTTGTGTGGCCTAAAGCACATACAATTTGGGTGGTCCTCTCTAAGAATAAGAATGCAAAATTGGGTATAAAGGCAAGCATTTAGTTAGAATGTGAAAAGAAATCACCATAAAATGTTGGAGACTGAAGAGATTCAAGTTCCTTTCTCTGAGATCACTTGAACTGAAATGCTTAGGTAGAAATGCCTCCTGATATAACCTGCTTCCTCTCCCTACCTGGAACATTCCACAACTCCCAGCATCTGCCAGAAGCCCAGGAAAGTGTGGAACCCTGAGCTTAAGTTTCACTAGCCCCAGGATAACCCCACTTCTAAGAAAACCTTCTCAGCTCCCTCTCAGGCTCCAAACTCAAAGGATCAATCTACACTTAGAGCTACCAAAGTAGTTCAGAGATGCCCTGTGGATATAATGGGGTTTGAGGTTGTCTGGAGTTCAATCTGGTGGCCACGTTAGTCTTAGCCATTTTCAACTGGTTCCTTCTTGGGAGAGAGCTACCAATTGTAGGCCATCTTGTCTCTCAGAGATGAACAGAGTTAAAGAAAGTTAGGGGTTTTAGCCAGGCTACGTAGGCCTATTGGGGGGATAACAAATTCCCCCTTTCTGTTTTTTACTCCTCATTCTTAAAGGATCCTGAGGGTCAAAAGTCTGTCTTTCATAACTTCTTTAAGCTGAGAGCAGTTGTTGTCAGGGGTCATTAGAGAAGTGAAACATTTCCCTAGCTAGCTTCAAGTAGGTCTAATATCTTCTGGCTGTAATCCTAACCACTCATATCCCTGGGTTATTATCATCTATAATTGTCCTCAAGACTTTTATAGACAAATAAACTAGACAGTTCAGGAGACAGGGCCAAGAATGAGCAGTAAAAGGATAGCGGCAAGAGATCCTGAGATGGGGAGGAACCTAGTGAGGACAGAAGAGCCCTTTTATTGTATTTTAGATATCCTGGGAGTTGGAATGGGTTTTCCCAAATGTGTGTAACCATTTGTCTTGGTTGTATATCTCAAGGTTATTGACTTCTACCTGTTCAGTATTGTTTATCCACGTACAGCATGAGGAGTTGATAACGTACATATCCTACCTTGTTCAGCTAAGAGGTAATCTAGGGTTTATACCAGTCACAGTCACCATTTTCTTCATGGTGTCATAGCATCATATGTTGTATTAGCCACTGCGCACACTGACTCCTTCTTTTACCAGCTAGTATTCTAAAGCAATTCTACTCTTTAAAGAACCCATGTGCCAAGGACTCTAAGGTACTCCGTTGACGTCTTAGAGCTTGAGCAGCAGAGCTGACTAAAAGCCTGGCTGCAAGGTTAAATTCCATAATATCAGGTATTTAATGAGAGTTATGTCTATGAAAACAAAATAAAAACAAAGGTTAATGATCAGAGCATAGAATAACCCAGCCTCTGAGTTTGTAAGGTTTTGGTTTGTAAGGTTGAGATTTCTAGATGTAAGGCTGAAAGCATTTGTAGTTTGATATGTCTCTGATGATGTCATTAGGTACTCAGGTCAACTCTCTGTGTGGCTTACACAGCATCAATTACTGAGATTATTTAAGCATGAGCTGTTGTGGCTATTTTCTACATTTTATATCAAATTGTCCATCTTTAGCCTGCATGGCTTTGGAAAAAAGCAATTTTAATTTTCAATGATTTCTAGTCAAAGGGTGGGAGAAAAACTGGGAACACGTTTTGAGAATCATAGGCAGATACTGGAGGAAACTGGAAGAATTCAGGATTCAGTCCACTTTACAAGTAGAAAACAAAACCAAACCCAAAAAATAATGAACAACACTAGAATCTCATATCCACAAAGGTATATTATATTGTTCTTTCACTTTATTTATTAACATATCCAACGCTTGCCCGGCCACTGTGGCTCAGTGGGTTGAGCGTCATCCCA